TCAGGTTTAATTTTTTTTTTTTTTTAATCTGTTTCTGGTTGGTATGTTTTGATCGATAGAACTTCCAGTAATCAGCCAATAAAAAAAAAGGGATAATCTGTTTTGCAGTGGCTGCTGACTATGCCCTGTCTCTTATACACATCTAGATGTGGATAAGAGACAGCACTATACTGATATACAAAACTCACATAAAGGATTACAACAAAAAGATAACAATATATTATATTATTTTGTGTTGTGGGAAACTATAAACTCAATCCTTTGAAATATTGATCTAATCATTATATGAGTTGATTTTTCAAACCAATCATTGGATTTACAGCTTAAAGTTGTTGACACAGAGAGTCAGGTTCAACTGATGAAACTATAGTTTTCCATTTGTTTGTCCATAAAATTTATTTTTGCATTGTGAGGTGGCCTACTATAAATGAACAAATGGATATGGTATATTTTGTTTGATCAATTCCACGAACTTCCAGAAACCATGGCTGCCAACTATGACCATGAGAATGAATACAGAATACTTCAGAATTAATGACTTAAATTAGATTCACAGTACAGAAACCCCAAATAATACACCAACTAAGGCGAGACATTTTTTATTCCTTGTTTTGCATACTTATTTTTTTAAAGATGATCGGAGGAGGGCCGAATAATAATACGGCAACAGGTAAAATTGAAATTTTATTTCCATGTATGACCGTAATCATGCAAAACACTTATCCAATAAATATTGGAGCTAAACACCTTTTACAATGTCATCCCAGACTTCAGATAATTGCTTTAAATCGCACCAAAAACCAGTAAAATATTATCACTAAAACTTGATGATGAAATACATTAATTTTTACAACTGTTTGGGAGTTTCTTTTTTTGTGTATTTATTGTTTTCTAATCTTTTCTCGGCTTATTTAAAAGCCTGGCATGTATAACAGATGATGTGATTTCAGTTATAGAGCCAAAACTGGTCCCCATATTCTGAGAAAACCACACGTCTCCCTGGTTCCGGCATTACGTCACTCGCTGGAAGGTAGCAGATACAATAGTTCAATGTCACAACAAAACATTGCTTTATTAAATTTTTTTTATATAGATCGAGGGCCCCTGGAGCTTGGGGGCCTAGGTTCAAAAACATGTTGAACCTGCGATATTTACGCCACTCTCGTCAGTACTATTACCAAAGTTATGAGTGAAAGTATCATGGCTTCTTTGCAGTAGAGTATACAATGCCACATTCTTGTGCTTCGGGTGACAATAGTAAAATTACACTGTTTTGGAATGGCAATCCTCATTCATCAAAAACATTAGAATACAAAAATCATTGATGTGTGTCGTTTGAAACATTAAAATGAATTGATACTGGTCTAAATATATTGGTGTTATTTTAGTCGCCATAACAGCTGTTGTTCTAGTGATGGGTGCGTCAATAGATTCCAAGAACCCCCTGAATTCAGCCAATCATATGCAGTAACAATCGTCTAATAACCAGGCACCACTGATCTCTATTATAATGGCTGGATTGCTCATTGGCCATTCACTGTACAACAAAAACTATGACTGATGCCGATCACTAACAATGCAAGTTGCTATACAGAAATCTGTCAATATGCATTGATTCTGTCCAGTAATCATAATTATATTTTGAATACATCGTTAGTTAAGTCTATATTTATTATGTGATAGCTAACAATGCAGATTTGCTTGTACTTTTTCAGCAAAAATAGGAGTGTTGAGTGTTTAGAGGATGTAAAAAAAAAAAAAAAAAAAAAAATTTTATAAAATTTGACTTTTTTTATTAATATGCATTGCAAGAATCATTATTTTTAATGCAAATTTCAATAAATGTCAAAAAAGCTTAACTTGACTGGCACGTCACTTTGGTATTCGCAAATGGCAAAATTCGCAAGTGGCCAACACTGAAACTAGCCAATAAGCAATCCAGCCATTATAATAGAGTTCAGTGCCAGGAAAATACTAAGTCTTATTCTGTATAAAAAACCTGACTGCCAAATTTCCATAGCTATGGTAGCCTACAAAAAAAAATTGTTTGTTTGCCTCCAGCGCCTGCCCCCAGCTCACTGAAAAATATTGGAGGCATTTTAAAAACTATTTCAGAATTTTGGTAGTATTGTGTCAGGTTTAATTTTTTTTTTTTTTAATCTGTTTCTGGTTGGTATGTTTTGATCGATAGAACTTCCAGTAATCAGCCAATAAAAAAAAAGGGATAATCTGTTTTGCAGTGGCTGCTGACTATGCCATGCGACAAAACTAGGTTTCAGAATTGACTCAAATTACACTCACAGTACATTCAACCCCAAAAAGTATTAACAATAACAAAACCATAATAGCCTGAAAAACATTTCCATACGCAAGGATATTTATGTAACTTTCGTTATATTGGATGGCACGCTCAATGCAAAGGGACTGGTTTTCGTTGTGGTCCAGTTACATAACATAAAATACAAAAATTGAAAAGAAAAATTTAGGAAAATTAAACAAAGCACTTAATTACAAAAATAGATGACTTAATTACAAAAATAGAGGACTTAATTACAAAAATAGAGGAGAGACCAATTAATTCAGAGCATTTTTAAATGTGTATTGGTTAAAATTCTGGAAATCCCTATTTAAATAATATTAACATAGAGATTTTTTTTTTAATCTTTTGTAAACAGTTATAAATCCGGCAAGGAAAAATGCTTTTACCAATGTATTTCTATAACCCAGATAATGATGGAGGAATTAATCCATGAGGTAAAGTAAATTCATACTCTGCCCCGAAAAATAGGGAAATCAACACTAGAGGGAGCTATGTACATTTTCTACAAGATCAAGAAACCCACTGAATGAAATGTGTACGA